CATGCCTTGAACTATATAACAAAGTGAACTCAAAATGGACCATAGGTCTAGATGTAAACTCTAAAATTTCTACAAGAAAACAAAGGAGAAATTCCTTATGATTTTGGATTAGGGCCTAGATATGACACTGGAAGCACGATCCACAAAAGAAGGAATTAATGAATTAGAATTTATCAATGTTAAAAACTTCTGCTCTTTGAAAGATACTATATAGAGAATGAAAAGACACATCAAAACCTGGGAAAAATATTTGCAAATCCTCTCTCTGATAAAGACCTTGTACTTAGAGTACGTATAGAACTCCTAAAACTTAACAACTAGCTGTTTTGTGCCAGTCTCAGCCTATCAATAACCAGTGTTGTGGGTGGACTGGCCCTTGGGGTTCTTATTTGCAAGATGCCCTTCAGCAATAACTCTCAGGAAACCTTGATAAAATAAAGGTTTATTACTCACAGGCCTTGGGCCACACAGCAAGGTTGCAGGCAGAGAGAGAAGGAAGGCACAGGCCTGGGGTTCTGCTTTTAGTGGGGCAGAGAGTGAGAGCCTAGGGCTTCAAGGGCTCACTCTTTATTGGCAAATTTAAAATATAAGAGTGGGAATATAAAGTGAGAGACGAGAGAAAAAGAAAGGAAAAACCAAGCGGTCCAAATGGCCAGTTATCTAAATCAACCAGCTTCTCTAAAACAAAAAAGCCTCAGTGGAGCAGAGGGGCCTGGCTCTTTACCTGGCCCTGGGGCCGACACTGTGTTTATTGGGGATGGCCATCTTTGAAGTGGACACCTCTTTGAAAGGGATGCCCCCACAATAAAAGCTTAAGCCAGGCACTTGCATTAAAAAAAAGAGAAACAAACAAACAAACAAATGTTAGGGAGTCCACTACACCATGGAAAGGGAGACAATGTTTTCAAATCACACATCTGCTAAGAGTGGAATATTCAGAATATAAAAAGAACTCTTACAACTTGTGATGTTTAGTCTTCTGTGTCAATTTGGCTAGGTTACAGTACCCAGTTATTTAATCAAGCACATCTAAAATCAGCTGACTTTGGAAAATGTTAGCCTTCAAAATGTGAGTGGGTCTCACATACTCAGTTGAAACCCATAAGAGGAAAAATTGAGGTTTCCTGGTGAAGAAGAAATTATGCCTCAGATTGCAGTTTAAAAGCCTGCATTAGGGGTTGGCCCAGTGGCGCAGCAGTTAAGTGTGCGCAATCCGCTTCTCGGCGGCCTGGGGTTTGCCTGTTCAGATCCCAGGTGCAGACATGGCACTGCTTGGCAGGCCATGCTGTGGTAGGCGTCCCACATATAAAGTAGAGGAAAATGGGCATGGATGTTAGCCCAGGGCCAGTCTTCCTCAGGAAAAAAAAAAAATCCTGTATTAGACATTCTAGTCTGCTTGCCTTCCCTATAATTCAAACTTACCAGCACCCATAATCAAGAATAATTCCATGAATAAATCTCTAGAAAGAAATGTGTGTATATGTGTCTCTGTGTGTGTATATATACACGTACATATAGTCATGCACTGCATAATGATGTTTCCATCAATTATGGTCTGCTTACACAATGGTGGTCCCATAAGATTAGTACCTTGCAGCCCAGGAGTATAGTAGGCTATGCCATCTATGTTTGCATAAGCACAGACTATGATGTTCACACAACATCAAAATTTCCTGATGAGGCATTTCCCAGAACATGTCCCCATCATTCGGTGAGGCATGACTGTATGTATGTATACAGAAATGGATATGTTCACGTTATAAATAAATGTTTCTTTTCTCTGGAGAACTCTAATACAGATTTTGGTACCAAGGATGGTTCTAGAGGAATAGAATCTTAAAGATGTGGTTTCTGAAATGGTTCTGGGGTTTCTGGAATTGGTTCTCTAATCTGATTAAATTGAAAGGCACCAGAGACCCTATTTCCAGTGTTAAAGAGGGCGCTGCCAGTTGATGGCAGGCTGTGGCAACAGAGGTACACAAAATATCACCACTGGATATTCCTAACCAAATGTCTATAAAAGGGAAACTTCTCAGTGATCATGTATTTGATGCGTTAATCATTCTTGACAAGTTAACGAATCTAATGAAATCAGCTAACTGTTCCTAATTGCACTTGATTAAATGAGAAAAGAAAATCATGAGCACAGGGTGTCAAATTCCCAGCTCATCTCAACCACCATAACTGACCTGAAGTGTCTGTACCTTCCCTGAAACAAACTCTTACTTCCTGTAGCTTCAGAGCTGATCCTTCTGAAAACCTAACCCAGAGTCTCTTCCTGCAAGCGGCTGAATTACAACACAGGTTGAATCCCCATCTGCACAGTGGTGAAAGTGATGGCGTTGATTTAGTAGTAATTTGGTCCTGAAAACTGGAATGAGGATGTAAGTCAGTTCCCGATTAAGCTGGAACATTTAACTCACTCCCACATGGCACAGAGTTGGCCTTGTCAGTGGAAGCAGCCCTCCTCCTCCTGTCTGAGGACGTGAACTCTGCTTTTCCTGGGGATCCTGTCATCATGTCCCCTGAGGTCATTGCCTGGCAAGACACTGCTGAGCCTCCTCAGGACCTATACCCACCAGCCTTGGTGCTTCTAGAGCAAGACTCAGTCGAGGTGAACTTGACTCCTAGCAGGTCCCAAAGCATGAGATACAAAAGGGGACCCATGAGGAATTGTGCTACACTCCAAAATTACCGCATCCTCTTCCTAGTACACACAGATGGAAACCTAGGACAACTGTGAAGAAGTGGGCTACGGGGGTTGGGATAATGGAGGAAGGAACACGCAGTTGATTCGGTGGAATGAATTGACTTGGCCCCACTCAGCAGAGGTTCTCTAGTCAACGTTGTGTCTCGAGGGGGTACAAAGATCTCTAACAGTCTGTTCAGTTGACTGGCTCTAACATGGACCAAAATGTGGAGATCACAAGATAAAATGGAACGTCCTTGGTGTGCTGTAGAAGAAAGGATCAAAATAATCATTCGAAAGCAGCACAGAGAGCTGAACAACTCAATGGAATGAGGAAAAAAGGATAAGATCAAAGGAAAAGTTCAAAGACAGGAAACATAGAAACATAAAAAAAAAAACAATTTTGGGGATGAGAGTGTAAAAAACAAAAGATTGACATGTGACCTCGCTGCAAATATGGGTCTCTTTTGGGTGATTAGCTGCACTTTTGGCCAGTGGAAGCCCAAACATGCGCTAAACAGCCCCTCCTCTGCCCCAGCTGAACTATAAGACGTACCAATGTTGCTACCTGCTGGGTCGGCTCTCAGGAGCACCCTAGTCCTGGAGGAGACACTCTTGGGACACTCATGCCTTCATTCCGGCCCTGGACTAGCCCTGGGACCTGCCACGACTCTTTCTCCTCTGAGGGACAGCACAGCATTCCCCAGCTTCCTCTGGCAAGTCTCTTTCCTGGGTGTCTGTGCCACATCAGCAAAGGCCTGGGCTTTCGGGAACCAGGGTTTATCCTCAGCATCTGGCTGTGCTGAGACGGCCTTCCTGACAGAGCCCAGCCTGCCATGTGTCTGAGTGACACTTGTAGCCACCAGGAAGGAGAAGATGAGTCAGAAGTGCCAAGCGATTCACCCGGCCCTTTTCTTTCAGGCTATTTCGAAGGGACGAGATTGCAAAGGCTGGGTGGTCAGGCTTTCCCTCCTGGTTCTGGAGCCAGTGCTCTAGTTGAGCTCAGAGCAGTGTCTGTTTAGCACGCAGATGAGAAGGATTTCAGCATTTCCCTTGGTAAGGCTCTGTCCACGCACATCCACAGATCATCAGGTTGCTGGCATTCCCCGTGGGACCACCAACTCACATCCTTCTTAGGCCTCCTCTTTCAAAGCTCCCAACAGGAAAGGTGCACATCCCCATGACAGAACCACAGCACAAGACTGTGGAAAAGAACACAGCCAGCTGAGGGGCTGCACACTTGCTGGGCTCAAGCACTGCAATGACTTTAGGAAAATTCACTATAAATACTCCAGATTGTGTAAACTTGGGACTGTCCAACACCATGGGCCTGAGAAGCACACAGGCCCAGAAGTCGCGCTCGGCAACAGGGAGACTGTGGGGTCATTTCTGGTCAGCATGATCATCTATCCTCCTGGGAAAGCAGAGCTCACCTGGGATCCACCAGGCCCAGTCTGGGAGGAGTGGCCACTATGGACCTGGCAGAAAGGCTGGGGGCATCTAGGGAATTTCTGCCCTAAGATACAATTGTATGCAGAAGTGCAGAGATGCTGAAAATCCTGGCTAACAGAGAGCAGTAGGTTTATGGAGGGAGACCTGGCTGAGGCCCTAAAAGCTGCATCCCACAGCTTTCCCCTTGGAGAGACAGCAAGCAGGAAATGGTATTCGGAGTCAGGGAGTAGAAGCCCAGGAGGAGCAAGTCTAGGTCAAGGGTGAACAGGGAGCCCCTCAGTGGGCCTGAGAAGGAAAAGTCCTGCCTGCCCACGGCCCATCTGCACAGGACATTCCTCTGGCCTTGTCCTCTCCACGTGCACATTTTGAGCTTTTGATGGTATTTTCCCCACTTAGAGCTGAAGCCATTCCGGAAACTGAATCAGAAAACAAGGTCCTAATCTGTGTGCAAGAGAAACTGGGAAATTCTTCCCTCTTCCAGCAGAATGTAAAAAGGCAGCCACTGTCCTGGGCAGGACGTGTGCTAGGGACAGGCACGTGCTAGTTTGAAAGACATCCCCAGCTCAGTGGTTGTCGCTCTGCCTGAGAAAGTGCCTCCAAACTCTTAGTCCCAAGGTCGGAGGGGCCATCTCTGCTCCTGGACAGGGTGAACCACACTGCAATGATCCTGTCCTTGGAGGAAGGGCAACTTGGGCATGTTCTTCAGTAGCCAGGGAGGGGACTGGCCTTTCTCCCTTCTCTACATAAACTGAGCTGATGATGCTGTGAGATTTCTAAATTGGAGGAGGAATGTGAGTTTCTGGATCCCATTTCCATGAGCACGGCGAGTGAAAGATGCACACCTCCACTCCCAGGATTAGAAAGAAGCAAGAATTTAATATAATACTCAAACGGAGCATTTACCATTGACAACAAAATATGGCCCCTCCAAATAGGGAAATAGGTACTGGGGAAAAGGGGGTGGGAGAAGAGGGGTTGGTGCCTTCCGTTGTGGCCTCCAGGGGACCCCAGGAAACGGATCACAAAGTTCTCGTCAGAATCAGAGGAGGTGGCCCTGTGTACCCTGAGTGTCCCTGCTGTGTCCCCACTGTAGCTCAGCTGGTCTCACGAGGGTCATCGACCACCTCCACAGGGCCCTTGGTTGGGGGTCTGATGTCTGGAGAAAGACAGGCATTTCCTGAGGGGCCTGCCCTGGAACCACAGTGCACACCTCCTCCATGCCCCCACCATGCTCTGTGCTCCAGCCCTGTCCTGAGTCCTCAGACAGCTAACAGCACCCCATCTGTCCCTGACACAGGGGCTGATATTTAGCGTCACCCATTTCACAGAAGAGGAAACCAGTCCCAGAAACGTGAGTGCGATCGCCCAGGACGGGACTGCTCAGCAGTGGAGTTGGAACCCAGGGCCAGCTGTCTGCCTCCCCAGGCCCACGCTCAGCCTGAATGTTTCCTGAGCCTGTGGATTCAGCCACTGCCGGTCTGGACGCTCACTCTTCCCTGAGCGGTTCTTCTTGTCTTTGAAGAAGAGTCGAATCTTTCTGGCCCAGTGGTATCGGGGCTCCAGCTGGCAGGACAGGCTGTAGCTACAGGACAGAGGGGAGCTGGGAGCTCTCAGGAGCCACACATCACATGTGCATCCTGGAGCCTGCCAGCAGCTGGGGTCGAAGGGCCCCAGGGGTCGCCATGCAACCAGATCTGAGGCTGACCAGGGAGCCACAGCCATAGGCTGCAGAGCTGATCAGCAGAGAGAGTCTGCCCTGCCCTCCCCCAACTCCTGACCCGACTCACCTCTCCTCCTTGCTCAGGGGCTCCACGGCCTGGAACCAGACCCCAAAGTGCTCGTCAGGCTGCACGGTGTACAGATTTGCAGCCTCCTGGAGCAGCTCGATCTCCTCCATCAGTTTGAATTGCTAGGACAGAGTAAGCACAGGATGCCCACAGGGCCTGAGTTGGGGACCCTGCAGGGCTCTTGGAGAGGGTGAGGAGGGGGGCAAGGAGACAGTCTGGGGCCTTTGCCCACTTGGGAACCCTGCCTCCCTGCGATTCCAGTCAGGACTTGCCTGCTCTCACACTTGGCCCAAAATAGCTCCTCCTCCAGGAAGGAGTCTTTGATGCCAGCCCTTCCCCCACCCACCAATGCCATAGGATCCCTAGCTCTGTATATCGAACTGTGCAAATAAATGTTCCCCCCTGGGGATTGGGCCAGAGGGTGTCCTGCCCACTGCAGGGGGGGGTCTCTGATTTCCACACCCCCACGTTCCCCACCGGGAGGCCGCAGCCGCTTACCTCGTTCCATTTCCGACAGTTGAGCACATTGCCCTGGAAAGCAGACAGCGGCCGTCCATCAGAAACAGCCCCTTTGGGCCAGCACTAGCCCCCGTCCACACCTCTTTCAATGTTGCACTACTGCCAGTGGGCGGGCCCATCCAGAGCCCGGACTTGGACCTGGGCCAGTCTCTGGGCTCCAGAGCAGGGGGCACAGAGCAACTGAGGCAAGAGACCTTGTAACCCAACCCTCTCCGATGACACGTGGGGAGACTGAGGCCTCAGGCAGGAAAGGACAGCTCAGCCACTGATGTGCTTCCTGACTGGGAGGGGGCCGACTTCTCTTCCCTCACTGGCAGGGCCAGAGGGAGAGGCTGAGTCCAGCTCAGACACCACCTCCTGGGGCCACACAGTCAGGCAGCTCTGAGCCTCAGCAGCCCAGGGAACCTGGACGGTGGCTTATGCAGAGCCTGCATCACCCACTGGGGAGATGGGCCTGACACCCCAACTCCCACACGAGGCTGGAGGCCCTGCTGAGAGGACCTTTGCCAAATGCAGAGAGCTCAGGGCTCAGGACAGGACTCTCTCCTCCCCACCCTCAGGAGCCTGAGCCCCCGGACCCACCTCCAGGCTCACTCACCTCCACATAATCCTCCATCGTAGCGTCCAGCAGCTCCAGGGAACGGAAGAACCTCACCAGGGAGGGGACGACACCCTGTGCCGCCATCGGGATGGGCATGGTGATGAGCTCCCGCTCTCAGGTGCCCCCATGAACCTTCCCCTGAAACCCCTCAGCCCAGCTTCCTGCCCACCCCACACTCCCACACAGAGCAGCCTAGGATCCTCGGGACACCCCAACACACACAATTCCCTTCCCCCGCTCCCCTCCAGGAACACCAAACTCCATCAGTCAAGTCCCAGGGCTGGCCGTTGGCCCCTCCCAGGGGCAGTGGCCCCTGCCCTTCCCCACCCCAAATCTGCCCTGCTGCCAGCCCTTCCAGGCCTCCTCCTGCTCACTGCCACTGCAGGCCCATCATGCTTGGCAGCCACAGCAGATTCGCCCGAGGAGGAAGGCTCCTCTCCTGAGGGAGGTCTCCAGCTGGGAGGGGGAGCCCCCTCTCCTCTGACTCCTAGGCCCCTCCCCCACAGTCACCCTCACCTGCTGCCGCTGCCTCTCCTGGGCTCCCTGGCGGGCCCTCTCTGCAGTCTTTAACACGGAGGTCGCCTCCTGTCGGGGCCGAGGACAGGGTCAGTGCACCCATACTCCCCTCCGCATGGCCCCCAAGGCCCCTGATCTCAGACCCTGGCCATCGGCTCCAGTCCCCTGCTGCTTCTGCTGCTCCCACCTCCACGGTGCTCTGATTCTAGACCAGTCCCAGCTCCAGCTCCAGGACTCAGTCCTGTGTGACTTGGGCCTGCCCAGGCCTCCCTGGCCCTCTTTCCTCAGCTGAAAAGTGTGAGGAGAACATCACCTGCTTTCAGGAGTCTCCTGAGGACTCAGAGTCATCTGCGTGTCATCACTGCTCTCCCCTCACCTCTCGAGGAGGAGCCGGCACAAATCTCCTCCCGTTCCTGTCCTCCCTTGGATGGTAGCAGCCCGCTGGGAGGCCTGCACTGCTGATCATTTCCCTCCACTTCCCAGAGGAGGAGACGGAGGCCCCCAGAGGGGCAGTGACTGGCTCAAGGACCCACTGGGAGAGGCTGCTACCTGTGCCAGCTACAGGCCCTGTCCCCGCTGCCTTCACCCCACCCTGGCTCCAAATCTGACCAAGGCCCCGACCTCTGGACTCCAGGGGTGCGTCCAGACCCCAGCTGAACAGACAGGGAGGGGGAGGGCAGGGTGTCTTGAGGGACCTGGCCGAGTGGCCCCGGCCTGCCCCACCCTCACAGGGCTCTCTGACCCCCAGCCTGGGCCGAGCCTTGCCATAGCCTCACCTCCTAGGATCCCCTCGGGATGTTCCCCTCCCCTCTCCTTCTGGCCTCCTTCCAGATCTCCAGCCTCCAGGTTACCTGCACCAGCAGCTCCCTGCTCACGCGTTTCTCTCTCCTGACCCACTTCTTCCAGGTTCGAGAACTCTCCCTGCGGGGTGGGGAAAGAAAGAAAGCAAGCAAGCAAGAAAAACTGTGGGATGCTTGAAGGCAAATCCCATTTATTTGAGAACCCAGGAGATCCAAACTGCCTGGGGCCTGGATGAGGGATTTCACTGGGGTGCTCTGAGCTCTAAGGTCCCCATGGGACTGCGGAGGGGGCCTCTCCTCTTGTCCCTTGGGGCCTCCATTCCCAGATGTCCCAAACAGATCTCTTTGGAACAGTGTTGGTTTCAGCTGCATAGAGGCTTCTGTTGCTGCAAAGGAAACACCTGACAATCTCCACCTGGGCTCAAGCCAGGATCTGGTCTGGAAGGAAATGAATCCCTGGGACGGAACTGCTGGCCTAAGGGTGCTGAGAGACTCAGAGACCCAGCACCCAGGTCAGTCCCTGTGCCCGGCGTTCGCTGTCTCCCAGGTGGTCTCAGCTGACTTTGGGGGACATGCCGGCCCAAATCAGGCTGCCTGGGCCACCTCACCCTCATGGTGCTTGGCTGGAGAGCAGACTACCCACCTGGAAACTTGTCCCCAGGTGTCTTGGAGACGGGCAATGGCAGGGCTCTGCAGGGCAGAAAGGATTGTGTGGAGGGAACAGAAGTTCCCGAGGCCTCGGCACTCCTGGGGAAGCGAAGAGATGGAGCCGTGAGGGGGAGCTGAAGCTCTGCTGCCTCTGGTTTCTGTCCCCTCATGGACTTCCCCTGTCCTGGAGGAGACACATGCCCAGGGAAGCCAGGGAGGGCACACCTGCCACCCGACGAGTAACACTGCCAGGCACAAGGATTTGTAGCTCAACACAAGGAAGGAAGTGAGCTTGTCCCCACTGGGACCTCAAGTCAAGGGCAACGTGGCCCTGGCATGAGGGTCAAGGGACAGTCCAGGGACTAAGACCCCAGACTGCAATCCTGAGAGCTGAGAAACAAGAGGCAATTCCCACGCATCCAGACAGGGCGTGCCAAGGCTTACCTCAGCCACCCTGATCCACAGCTCAACCACCCTGGCCCTGTCCTGCGCTGTCATGCTCGCTTCCCCAAGGCAGGTGACGAGGATGCGATTGGCCACGGTGTTGTCGTGCATCACAGTGTCACGGACGGTGGGTGCCAGGGACTTGCGTTCCCTGTTGTCGCGCTCAGACCAGATGGAGCCGAGGCAGTGGGCGGGCACCAACGTCTTGAACAGCTCCTGCAGAAGATTCGGAGTGTCACCCGGTCCTGCCGCACCCCAGCTCGGCGTCCACAGTCCCCCATAGGCCCAGGCAGGGTGAGATCAGAACTGGAGCTCAGGAAGCAGAGCATGTGGCCTGAGGCTTGTGGGAGTCCCTGGGTTTTGTCTGTGTCCACTGAATGCACCCAGTCCAGGATGACCCCGGACACAGTACTGTGGGGAAGGGAGGGGACATTTGCTCCCAGCCCTGTCTCACTTCCTCCAAGCTCCAGAAGGCAGCCCACACATGCCCACCAGAAGGGCCATCATCCACCCATCCCAGTGCCCCTCCGGTCCCACTCCCCATTCCCATGCACATTCCCCCCGAGGCAGGGACAACGCCCAGCTTTGTTTGACTGTCTCCACTGGAGTCAATACACATCACCTTCCTGATAAGTGCTGAGGCTGTCTGGGCCACCTGCGCAGATGGGGGATCCACCCAAGGACCTGGCAGCACTTCAGTGAGTGCCCATCCCCCACCAAAGGGCCAGACTCTGCCCACCTTCCACTCTCTCCCACCTCATTCATCGGCACAGCCACCCTGTACAGCAGGTGCTCTGAGTGTCCGTCTCTACTGTCCCCTGTTCGCTAGGGGACAGCGAAGTCTTGGGGAGAAAGAAAGCTGCCCAGGTCACAGTATCGATAAGGGAGGGAGCAGGGATTTGGACCCAGATCATCGGAATCCCGAGCAGGGAATGGCAGGTGTGGGGTGGCTCATGGCACCAGGAAGGCAGGAGCCACCCACCCCGCGAGCTCCTCTGCTCACCGCAGCCATCCTCGTCAGCTGCTCTGCCACCAGCTGGGGAGGGAAGACCAAGATGTTCGGCTTCTCCTCCCGCAGCTGGTCCTCGGTGGTCACGGCCCAGGGGCAGCTGGGCTCTGGGGCTGCCTTTAATGGTGGCCCTTGCTCTGGTCCTGGAGTGGCCGACTCAGGGGCTGCTGGCTCCAGCTCTACCACACGTGGTGAGACTGGAGGTGCAGCTGGCTCCAGCCCAGGGGCTAGCACTGGCTCTGGCTCCAGTCCCCTCACCTTTCCATTCGGCCTCAATGGCCTTGAGATGCTCCAGGTGGCCTGGCAGAAGGTAGGCATGGCCCTCCACGTGGGAGCCACCAAAGCTGGCGTGCAGAGTGGCCAGCTGCAGGGTCCAACAGGGGCTCCCTGCAATCCTGCCCTTGGCCCAGCCAGGTTCCCAGCAGGAAATAGATAGCACTGCGGGGAGGCAGATGGGCCAGAGAGTCAGTGGCCTGGCCTTTCCTTAAACACCGCCCTCCCAAGGCACTCTTGTTAGCATCTGGGCCCCTGTGCCAGACCCTCCCCCTCCAGAGGAGGGCCCCATCCCAGCCCTGAGCCCTGGCTGGCTGTCCTGGCTGTGGCAGGCCTGCTCATCCAGCAGGCTGAACACAGAGTCTGTGAGAGTCTCTTGTTCCCACCGATACTCTCCTCCCCAAGGGTCTGGACACAGCCTACCCAAGCCCTGTATGCATGTGGGCCACTGGAATGAAGACTCCAGCAGATTTGGGAGTAGCTTGCTCACACACCTCCTACTATGGACCTGGCGGTGGTGCTCACAAGGTGTGGATGTGGAGAAAGGGAGGCAGGAGGAGCTGGGACTCTGCTGGGACTGGGTCTCTAGGGGACAACGCAGCCCAGCCTCCCTTCCAATTCTCAAGGGGCCTGGGACCCATGCACAGCTCTCTTTGAGTCCAGTCCTGCTGGAGTGGAAGCCATCAGAACTCAGCCCTCCCATGGGAATCACAAGATGGGTGAGATGCAGGGTTCTCCCAGGCCTGACCCGGCCACAGCCTCCATCCTCTTCCTGCACCCTGTTTGCTAGAGACAGGAGGCCCTTCTTCTCGACCCAAAGACCACTCACTTTGGGAGGTGGTCCTGTCCTCCAGCATCCTGCACACAATGGGCCAAGCTGCCTCCATGTGTCCCAAAGGGGATGAGGGCATCGCCTGGGATGGAGGGTAGATGGGACCTGTGAATGATGTAAGTGTGACTGTCTGACTCTCAGAATAGAGGGGAGGCCCAGGGAGGCTGTCTACTTCATTCACTGAGTGACACTTAGTGTGTCCAAAAGTCCTGCTCAGAGTAGGTCCTTCATAGGCATTGTTAAATGACCTCCAACCAGAACCACTCCAGGTGTCTGAGTGGGCCTGTGGCCCCTCTGTGGCCCTAGAGATCCCTAAGTGGCTTCACCAAGGACAAGCACCAGGACCAGCTGGATGGCATCTCAAACTCCTTGACAGGGTGCTCTCCAGGTGCTTTTCCAAACTCAAAAAGCCACAAGCCAGTGAAGGGAGAGGAAGACTACTTTCCGTGGGGGACAGAGAAATAATCAACACCAGCAACCACAGCATGGCCCACCACCCTCTCTGCAGAGCCGGGCACCAGGGCAGCACCTGGAGGGCTGATCCCATTCATCCCTGGGAGAAGCCTAGCAAGTTCATCCTCTCCCACCCCACGTTTCAGAGGAGCCAACTCAGGCTCAGAGAGATGTGGTGACATTCCCAAGGCAAGACACACAGCTGACAGTGGGCAGACTCACCACTGTGCTGAGGAGGAGGTGGGCAGTCACCTGGGAAACAGCTGGTCCAGCACCTGGTGGGCTGTGCTGGAGCCTGAGTAGCTGCAGAGGGAGGTGATGACACTGCAGAGGACTCTGCTAGGAAGGCTGGCAGCACAGACTGGAGGGCACGCATCCTGCAGGCCTCAGTTACAGACAGAGTGGACTCATCTTCACTCTGGATGGGACGAGGAGGCACACAGGGTCAGGGCCACCACTATGAACCACCAGCGTTATCGAGGTCTGCAGCTGACCCAGGAACTCCTAGCCCCTCCCAGACGTGTGCGACAGGAGACACAGGGGCTCCCACACTCAGCAAGGTTCTGGGCTCTCAAAGTACAATCTGACTTTGGGCGGGCGAAGGATTCCACATTGATCTCCCTCGAGGCCATTTCCTCGCAGAGGGACAACAGACCTCCCTCTGTGCAGAGCACCAGCCCAGTGAATCCTCAAAAGACACCCCCTCTCTAGAGAGGAGAACAGAGGCTTAGGCATGCCAAGTGGCTTCTCTAGGTCCTGTGGGTCACAACTGAGAACCGCCCAAAGTGAGGGCTGAGGGCCAGCCCCTCTAACTGCCTGAGGCTTCATTGGGCCCCGACCTGGAGGGAAATGTTATGTGGCCACCCCGCCCCGGTCTGGAAACAGTGTACAAGGCAGTGACACACTCTGAGAATCCCTTTGACTTCCAAAACACGCTGATGGTTATTTCTCTTACATTAAAGGGAGTTTGGAGACCCTCCTTATCAAGGTTCCATGTTCCAAAAAAGGCAAAATTCAAAGATACTCAGGGCCTAGTGGGAAGTGATAACGTTTTCTCTAATCTTCCTAGGAAAACGCAGAGTGCCCTCCTATCCTCCTATGCAGCTGGTGGGGAGGAGCGGAAGTCCAGATTCCTTTGGGACTGTGGGACACTCAGGGGGGTCAGCCCTGTTAGGTTCCCAGGAGAACGGCAGTTTGAGGTTGGATTCTGGGCCTGCCCTGGTCATCTCAGGGGCCCGGGTGGGAAGACCCCTCGGTGCCCACTCTCACCTCAGAGCAGCCCTGGTTATTGATGATGGTGCGGTGCAGCTGGTCCCTGTCCAGGGAGATGGAGTACCCGAAGCCATCCGCCAGCTCTTCGACCACCTCCTGTGTGCAGCTCTGCAAAGACAGTGCCCGAGAGCCGGGCCAGGATGTCTCAGGCACCTGCCTCGACTTGGCCACAGGAGGAAACCCCAGCAGGGATCAGGTACCCAGCAGTGTCTGTGTAGAACTCCAGCCAGGGAGGGAATGAGATGACCCCTGGAGGGCTCTGGACTGACATATGCATAGAGGAGCTTGGTCCCCAGCACCCACTCTCCCATCCTGCTAGCCAACACCTAGGCTGGGAACACGACGCACTGCCAGGTTTCAACACCCAGCAAAGGGCTCCTGCCCAGGATGAGTGCCCCCTCAGCCCCGCCGTCCCTCACTCCACTCCCCCCGGACACACAAGGAGGCTCAGAGGGGTGTGGGGTTGGGATCCCATTGTGGCCTAAGGCTGTTGGCCTGCCCTGTGTTACCTGAGGGCTCCTCCTGCCAAATGGCCAGAGGCGGTGCAGGTGAGGGCCAAGCCAATGTGTGTAGCAACTGAAAAGGCTGTGTTTCTTGGCTTTCCTGAAGCCACAGCCTCGACAAGTCGGGAGACAACAGCAGAGCATCCTGCTCTCTTCAGTGTCTCTACTCAAGTGAGCTCAATAGGAGGCTATGTCTAGAATGCGGGCGCCTGGAGACCAGTGTGCTAAGTTCTGTTAGGGTCTGTCACCAAGGAAGTGAGGTCACTTCCTCAAGCTTCCATTACCCGGGCCTCTTCCTTCAATCACACCAACCCAAAACCCCTCTGGGATCTTGGCTGCTCACCCTCCTTGCCCATGTCATCTCCAGAACTGTACACAAATAGCCAGGACAGAGCCCCACACAGGACCTTGAGATGGAACCAGGTTTCCAGCTTGAGGAAGCTGAGTTCAGCTGAGTTCATGCCTCTTTTTCCCTAGAAGCTCTGTGTCCTGGAAACACCATTGTGCCTTGCAAGGCCTCCTCAATCCCTCAACCTGCACGATGGGGACAAGGCCAGAAATAGCTCCCTCAGGACGTCCTCAGCTGTAGAAGAGACAGTAGTGACAACACCTAGGGTCTGGTTTCACTTGTGTCTGATGCACACACTTAGAGATGAAAGAATGACAAGAAGGGGTGGGCTATCGTGTGGAGTACCCCTTAAAACAGGCCTGTGTCACAGCACTTGGACCTTGAGCAGGTCCCTGCCCCTCTGAGCCTCTTTTACACATGTGCACCTTTAACGGGTTGAAATTAGAGGAAATTCAGATATTGCCAGTCACTGGCATGACAGATTCCACAGTCTCCTGTTTCCCTTAGAGTCAGAACCAAGAGCCTCATGTTGGCCTATGTGGAGGGCAGCCTCCACCATGGCTCCCGGTGCTCACTGTCTCCTGCTGTGCACATCCTTGTGGAACCGCACAGTCATGAGGAAGTGACTTCTGAATAGAATGCAGCCAAGGTGTTGGGATGGTACACAACCCAGGGTTAAGAAAAAAAGCCTGGCCCTTCCTTCTTACTCATTGTCTTTAGCCCCCTCCCTCTTTCCCTCCTCCTGTTTCCGTCTCTCTCTCTCTCTCTCTGCCTCTTATATCTCTGGAACTGGGGGAGCAAGTGCACATGTGTTCAATTTCCCTATGTTGAGGCTCCATAGGAGAGAATGGAGGAAATGATCGGCCAACAGACAGGCAGGAACTCAGGCTTTCCGTCCAAACAAACCCTGTCAACATGCATGTGAATGAACTTGGGAGCACATGCTCCCCGAGTCGAGCCGCAATAGAGATGCAGCCCAAGCTTCACAGAGACCTTGAGGCAGAGGCACCCAGCTAAGCTGTGCCCCATTCCTGGCACACACACTTTGTGAGAGCTTAAGGATTTGTACTTTCTAGGGGCACGGTCTTAGAGCAATGTCGTCAGAGAGTGACAGGAAAAAGCAGTCTGCCAGTCCTGCCACCCGTCCCTGCCGTACCCCCATCTCCCCTCCTCTCTCTTCTCAGGATCCTTCCAGCCACACCGCCACCTTTCTCACCTTCTCTGCTCAGACTCCTTTCTTCCCGTGAGTCTCTGCACGAGCAGTGCCTTCTCCCTGACACTCAAACTGTTCCCAGACACAGGCAGGCGTGCCTCACATCTGTCACTCGGCTCACAGCAAATGTTACCTCTGTGAGGCCTTTCAGAGCCTCCCAGTCACAGTCTCCAACGTCACAGATCTCACATCTGCACCGTCATCTCATGATTTTCTCCTTCTTGGTCTCTTTTGGATAAAGTGAGTCCATGAAGCAGGGCATTCTGCTTGGCAGACGCAGAGGCAGCTTCTTCCGGTGCCCTCAGGAACATGACTGTCTCTTCTGGGCTGAATGTTTCCCCTCACAAGTCCACTCTGAATGGAAACTGTCATTTCATCTCTTTCCTGGGTCTGGTTTCTTCTAAGAACACAGGGAGCCATCCCTTCTTCCTGGAATGCGGCACCAGCCTCTACACCCACAGCCAGAAGATTAGCGCCCAGCTTCAAACACCACCAATCCTGAAGTCAGTTCCTGCTGAGGCCTCCCATCCATCTGTAATTCCATGGTAACGGCTGAGGTCACCTTTCCCCTGAGACTCAGCTCCCAGCCTTCCGTTGGCTTCTTAGAGGAACAGTGGGATTTCCCAGAAGCACTCCCAGCCTGAGCAAGAAAGGCTTTGAAATGTTCTCTATGTATTTTCCAGGACATGGGACATGAGGAGAAGTCATTTTGGTGTGTACGTGCAACAGTTTTGATGCAAAAAGTATCTTTTTCAGACAGAGATCAAAGAATGGGGCTACTGGGTATAACAAGAAAATGGATATGCTGAGCCAACGTCTTCATGGTGTGAAGTCTTAGAGAGCAAAGAACATGATTAAGAGCAGAGAATATGAAGACAATATCTTATGTTCAAATTCCAGCTCAATCACTTCCTAGATATTGGTAGCGGGCAAGTTACTCACCTCATCAGTGCCTCAGTTTCCTCATCTGGTGTCGGCAAGAATGATAAGTGTACCTAATTTGTAAGGACATGGAGAGTATTAAAGGAGTTAATGTTTGAAAACTGCTTGCAACACCTAGCACCTTACAAGCACTGTACCTATCCATTATAAATGAAATGGAAACATTCTTCTGATGCTATCTTTTTACTCCAGAAGGGAGACTAGTGCCTGGATGGATGTAGACAGCACTCCCTGAGACAGGATGAATCCAAGAATGAACAACACTGTTGAAGGCATTTCCAATGGCACATCCGCCTCCTTATGGACATTCTGTAGCAGAATCACACCCAAGCATCCCTCCTCTCTCCTGCATCATATTCTGGGATTCTATCCAGAAATCATGGGGCTTCTTGCACCCCGGCACCCACACCCACTACAGGTTCTCTTCTCTCTAGCAGCAAACCTTAGGCCTTGTCCTGATGGCTGCAGCCCACAGGCTCTGTACTCTGATCCTTTTCTTCACTTGAGGGAGAAGTGCCATCCCCAGAACTGGGCACACACAGTGTGAGCCTTGGAGCGAATGTCTCCCTGGCCGGTTGTAGGTGGAAGAGCAGCGTGACAGAGTGGGACTTAGGGAGAGTCTTCCAGGTGTGCTCAGAAGGGGCCCAGCCAGGGCATTGGTCAGCAAGGTCTGGTCTGGTTGGTGGACCTTGGTGGCAAATGAGTGGCAGGGGCAGCATGTTTTAGAGGGCCTGGCAGGAGACAATTCATAGGATGGTCATGAAGTCAGAATCAGCCTAATGAGCTCCAACTTAATCCACTGTCATCTGTTCCCTGACTGGCTGACTAATCCAGGAGTGATTTAGAAGAGTGATATTCGTGTTCTATCATCTTTTCATTGGTTGGCTACAGCTATTATTCTTTACATAACTTGTATATTTCTACAAAGGAAAGGAAAGGTTAGTTTTGTTACAACCCTTCTAGCAAAATTCTCCCTAACATATTGAATCACTAACAGAATCCACCGCTGGGAACCTCATATAAGATCCTGACATTTACTCTCTGGTTTCATATCTTCCTGTTTGGTAAATTCTCTTGACTTCTGGTTTCTTTTCTGAGGTTCGTCCACTCAGGACAATGTAGGAGTGCAATCTCTTGCTACTTCAGAAGTAGTGGGGCAACTCTATGATGATGTTGCTTTTGTTTTGTGACTGTATGCATGTGTGTGTGTGTGTGTGTGTGTGTGTGTGTGTGTGTGTGTGTGATGAGACTGTTTTCTGCATCTTGCCACGTGGGTTGGATTGACTCCTTTCCTTGGAAAAATTGTCCCTTACCACTTTCTCTGGGCTTTATTTTCATGGCTTGAATAGTGCTGTGCAACAGTAGAATTGACACTCTATCTTATGGAATTTAAACTTCTTTTAGTAGCCACATTTCAGAAAGTAAAAATAAACACGTGAAACTAATTTTAATAGTATATTTAAACCCATTATAACCAAGATATTTTCATCTGGCCAGGCAATCTATATAAAAATTATGACAGAGATAGTTGAATTTTCTTTTTATGATTGGGATCTAAAAATCCATTTACAGCACAGTCTTCATTTGCAAATTGAAATTTTCTACATATTCAGTTTCTGTGTCCCCCAAATCAGAACCTGGGCTGACTTGTTAGAGAGGAAATAAAGCAGAACAGGCATAAGTAACAATCACTGTCAATCCAGCTCAGCATGAACACTCACAACTGACAAAAAGGCTGTCCCTGACCAGGGAGTAGAGGCCCCTCAGGGTGACATGGTGGATCAGCTGGTTCAGCACCCAGGAATGCTGCTCTCTGTCACATGGGGTCTCTGTCACACTCTCCATCATGAGCCATGGGGTCAGGGTGGTAGGTGCAGACAGCTTCCATGCTGGAGGCTGCCCATTCCTCCGCAGGCCCGGGGAGAGAAGAATGTGGGGACTCTAGAGAGATGTTCTGAATCCTCTGATAATGGGGGCCAGAGGGAGGGAGGAGCAAATTGGCAGTCAGTGGGAAGAGTGAAAACTGGGGTGGTCACCGAAAGTGTTCATGACTCTCAAATGCTCAGAAAAGGGACTTCCCTGAGGGAGATCAGTCTACAGCCCAAGACAAGGGGCCCAGGCTGTTCTTCTTGAACAAGGATCCAAGCAGGGGAGGAGGCAGGAGGAGGACGAGCAGGAGAGACAGCAGGTGGGGTGCGGCTGGCTGGGACTCATCCTGCCAGGAGCTGCTGGCACCAGGGTCTCATCAGGTGCTGCAGGACTCTCTCAGTGGAGTTCAATGTGGCTGAGCTCTTGCTCATGTCTGTCAAATACTGGATGTTGGAGATGGTGGAATTGAGTGTGAGGGCCTTCAGGTCGTGCCCCTTGGCTGCAAGAAGAGAGGGAGAGAGATGGCCATCACTGAGAGCTGGGCTGAGACCAGATCAGAGTCCTGAACTCAGTGTCATCTGTTGCCTTTGCTCCCAGTGGAACCACCACGCAACGCTGTGCTCATCCAAGTTGAAGCCAGCATGTCTCTCAGCTCCTCCTCCCTCACCTGCCAGTAACACCAATTGCACTTACAGATTGCTCCTCAATGCATTCCTTCTGTTCATTCACGTCCCAGGTAGGTCTTATCTTTTCTCACCGGAACCAACACCCTAACATGCTCACTGGATGCATTGTCTAAAGGATGTTCTCTGCCTTGAACATTAGAAGCATTTTTCTGAAATGAAGATCTCACTAGAACACTCCTGCTCTAGTATCACCCATGGCTCCCTAAGGCCTTCAGGGTTAAGTTCAAGCTTCTTGACCTGGCGCTCAAAGCCCTTGCACATCTGGCTCCTGTTGACTCTTCAGCCTCATTGATGCATTCACTCTGAGTTAGGCTTTGTGCTTCAGACAAACCAAATTCCTGTCAATTCTCCCGTACACTATGCTGTTTTAGCCTACAGGGCCATTGCTCATGCAATTTCCTGTGCCAGGAACACGCTCCACACCCTATTTCCCTATATAACTCCTACTCCTTCTTAAAGACCCCAATTGGGCAAAACTTCCTCCAGAGAGCCCTTCCCACCCAAAGGATGCCAGGTGCTTCTCCTCAAAACATCTCACCTTGTATTAGAATTTTCTGTGACTTTCACAAGACCAGGGGCTTTCTGAGGGCTGCATCAGATTGAAATATTGGTGTAATCCTTGTGATCAGCATGCTTGCCCTCAAAGCAGAATTGCACACCTCGGCTTCCCAGCTGCCCAGTAATAATTGGTCAGTTGAGGTGTGGGGCTGGAGAGCTCCTCTGGGGAAGGAAGAGGGGCCCCCTAGGCCTGTGGTGGCTTCTGGTTGCTCAAGTGACGAGGAAGTAGGCAGGAACATGCTGCCTGGCTCAGGAGCTGTGGAAAGGGCTGTCGTCTGGGAGAGACAGAGACCCCACACAGTGGGTGAAGCCCCACAGGCTCATCTGCACTCCAACAGTAGCTGTCCCAGGACAACCATTCACAGGTGAGCCATAAATGTGAGTGACAGAAGGAGGGATTGTGTGAGTAGATGGATGTTCGAGCCTGTGAGTGAGATGAACCCAAGAGAGACAGTGTGCTTGAAGAAGAGAGAGACGCAACAAAGAGATAGGTAGAGGCACAGATAGAGGGGATACCTGGATGGACAGAGGAAGAGCGGACAAATGGAGGGTCACAGGGAAAGCAGGAAGAACAAAGACAAGGAAGAGAAGTTGGAGAGATGGGAGGAAAGAGGATGGAAGGAGAAAAGAAGGACAAACAGGCAAACAGGCAGGAGTACAGTTGGACAGATTGATACCTGGACAGATGCTTGGGTGGATAGATGGAAGGAAGGAAGGAAGGAAGGAAGGAAGGAAGGAAGGAAGGAAGGAAAGAATGGAGGGAGGGAGGGAGGAATGAAGGATAGAAGGAAGAAAGGAAGGAAGGAGTCTGAGAGGAGGGAGAACTGGGAAAGTCACCTGCCCAAGTTCAGAGGGTGCTTTAAAGGGAGGTTAAGGCTGAGAATACAGGACCCCTAACTCCCAGGTTTGTGTCCACCTGTCCCAATGCTACCTGTTATTACTCGTAGGGATGAGCATATGGATGTAAAAGAAACCTTGAGCCCTACCCTCACAATACACAAAACTCAATTCCTGGACACTTTGACCTAAAGGGGAAAGGTAAAATAATGAAACTTCTAGAAGACAACATAAGAAAACATCCTCGGGACCACAGGGTAGAAAAAACTTCTCAAAGAAGACACACACATACACTCCATACAAGAAATATCGGTAAACTGGGATTCATTAAAATTTAGGCTTTTGGTTCATCATAAGACACATTACAAGAGGGAATTTGCAAGTCACAGGATGCGAAGAGATTGTCCCACTTCCAATATTCAACAAAGGATTCACATGCAGAATACAGAAAATCTTCAGCATATTTATTAGATGAAATGCAGTGAAAGAGACACATATTAATGCTGGTTATTTTAATGAGCCACATTTATTTTACAAGGACAGTGAACAAAGCAATCTGAAAAGCAGGGGGTGAAAAACGAACAGTAGATAAACAGAATCCCAGGAGGGTTTGGAAAAAGCAAGAGAAGCCCCTTACATAACAGTTCATTGGCCTTAGAAAAGGAAAATACTACTGGATTCTGTTAGGAAGTCAGAAAGATTGAAATATCTAGTGCCTTTAGTGGAAAAATAAGACAGAAAAAATAACTATGATAGTTATTTGATTTTCCTCCAAATGACTTTATCCCTTAGAGAGCAAGGCACTTTCCTTTTCAATCATCAACACATCAAAGTTTAATTTCCCTCCATTTAGCCTTTTTCGTGGCCATAGGTTAGAAGCAGCAAAGGGGCTCAGAAGGCTGAACCAGTCTGCAGACATACACTGTCCCATTCCACACTGACTCACACACGTGCAAAGTGGGCGCTTCTCACAGGGGAAAAGCCTGCAGGGCTGAGGGGCAGCCACCCCTTGGACCCTGTTTGTTAGTACCATTGGAAATTTCTCCTGAGTCTCTACTCAAAAAGGAAGTGGAGGAGGGTAGAATAAGAAGGCCATATATTTGAAGGAAATAGGAGAAAATATTTCATTGTGAGAGTAATAAATATTGCTTTTCAGAAGTCATGTGTACATTGAAAGTCTATGTCTTAAGGTACCGTAATGAAACAATGTACACCTCATCTTCTCCCTCTTTTATCTGAGCACAAGGTTAAAATCCATGGAATTCCTAAGCTTAAAAAAAACACACAAAAATCACAAGGAAGGTTTTGGAGGTCATGGATGTGTTCAGCCCTTGGTTGTGGTGATGATATGATGAGTGTATGCATATGTCCAAACTAATCAATACACATATAGAAAACATGTGCATTTTTTGTCTATTACTCATACCTCAACAGAGCTAAAAATTCAAATAAATTCCTAAGTTTACTTTTTGAGGATGTATAAAAATCAAAATTTCTAATAAAATTCAGATTGTTAATTTCTGAACATAAATAGCATTCCTACTTTGATGGGTGACCCCACAACTCTCAAAAAAATCAAGAGCAGTTGCTACTGTCAATCTCAGTGGAAGTTAATTTCAACACCTCACCCCTTCTTTACACCTCATTATTTAAAAACTGAGGAAATAGTCTTCAGCTTTTAAAATGAAGGAGTAAATGAGCCCATTTGACATTATACTTTATTCAAGATTTAATGTTAAGTAAAGGAAATAACTGAGCATGAGCAGAATCCCTTCCATAACTCATCTTTTCTCCTATGCTGATAATAAAAATGACACTCTACTTAAACATAGCTTGCATGATATATTCTCAAGTAAATATACTTAACTGCTGGACATTTGATTTTGTTTTCTTTCTTTTTGTAATCAATAATTTACACAAAAAATCAATTTAGGACATAAAACATATTGCTATTTAGAATTACTTCCTGATTGTAAATTACTAGAAATGTAAACATGAAGTCAACGCTAAGGATGTTTTAAGTTCTTTAATTCATTTTGCCAAATTTCTTTTTTAGAAAATAATGTTAATATAGGACTTTAAGTTTGAGAAACCTGTTTCATGACACCCTAATCTGTTGAGGGATAGTTTTGAGATTCTTATTCAATTTCTTCCTATTCATCTATAAAACTTATTTGGCATCTTTCATCTTTTTAACATTTTCGTCTTTTTAACTTTCGAAGGTTTAACTTTCCAAGAGACGATTTTTTAATGACGAGCTAACTGATGAATTTGTGCACCGTTTTTTTGAGACTGAATATACAAATGGACAAAGGCCAGATCATATATGACAGTATAACTCTGACCCCCAACGTGGGAAGCAAACATCCCAAGAAGCCACATCACAGCCCCTGCAGCATTCAGCACAGAACAGTCAGCACTTGGTCAGTAACTGCCAGTTTCCAAAACTCTCGTTCTGCTTTCAGCACAGGACCGCCAGAGAAAGCCACGTATGCTCCCTAAACCATCACATAGGATGCCTGCCTTCTACTTAGTGAGCTCCAGCTTCCCCATGTCAACAACTTCCAATCAGGCCACCCCTCCCCCACTCCCCTGACCTCTGCCACCCTCTCCCCTCCCTTTCCCTTCTCTCCTCTTCTTGTGCATGCAACAATCCTCTCCTGTCGCATTACAGTCTCTGCAATATTTTTAACGTGTGATAGAGCAGCTCCTCCCTCAGAGTTCTTCCTGGTCCATATTTTCCTAGCTTAGCTTATGCGTTTATTTTTTCCATGTAGGATCATTTATCTAACTCAACAGAAAAGCTCGTTAAAATTTTTATTGGCATTATATTCAATTTATAAAGTAATGGGACTGACCATTTAATGAAACTTCCTAACTTAGAACATAGACTGA